AGCTCCACTAGATTTGTCCTAAATTTAGCCATAATTATGTCTATTTTGCAAGTGTTGGTGGTGTTTTTTGTGGCTGGTGTTGGACGGTGATGGCATATGGTTGTGAGTCACCCGATGGGATGTGGAAATCAACCCACCAGTCTGTAGCTCTCCTCCTGCCAACTTCTGCTAGCTAGCCAGGTTGAGGTTTTCAAATGTAAACATCAGTAAATGTCCAGGAAAAGATGGAGAAGATGGGCACCAACTGAACTAGCATCCTGCTAGCCATTGTACAGGTGTGGGATAATGAACTGGACAATCTCTGTGTAGCATCAGTTTCCAAAATGATATCAGTAACTTATATTATATATTATTTAATATTATTTATAAAAAATAAGCCTAGCTAAATCCTGGACAGTGTTATTCAACCATATGACTCTTCTTCTATGGCGATCTGACAGAGCAGAGGACTCTGGCCAAAGAAGGCTTTATGGTGAGTAAAGACTGTAGTGACAGTGGGAATGATAGCCTTGTCCTGAATCATTGCCAAACGCCGTTCAGAGGCAGCTACAGCGACCATCTTGATGAGGTCAAGATATGAAAACAAACTATGACTATTACACAAGCTCCCAGTGATGCAAGAGATGGAGCCAATCAGAGTCTGGAGCCTGTTCCAAAACACCCCCATCATCACCAATAAAATCAATTAATTCACTGAGAAGCAGAAGCATCAGAACCACAGTTAAATCATTCCACAACCAGGATTACCAGAACCATCAGGAAACATGGAAAATTATAAAGCAGCAGCCAACAGTGTAAGAAGAGGCAGAAAAGGTCTAAATTAAAAGGCACAGGTTGAAGAAGCTGACAGGATCACTTTTCACTTGAGATGTACCACGTATGATTTGATGTGACAAATAAAGTGCACTACTTCCTGTTTTGTTGTTCATCGCTGACAGTGGGCATAAATCACAAGGTGCAGAACATATGGATGTATTTCACTGGGACATCTAGCTGCATTAAACACAACTTGTAAATATGCACCAATATAAATGAAAAGAATAAAGATCTCAAAAAATAAATCCTGACACAGTGTCTGGAAGTAAGACAAAGCCTAATTCTGTCTTCTATAAATTACTTTTAAATTCTACAACAGCAAATTGTTTTTTAAGAGAAATGTATTACCAAAATATCTACTCTCGCAATACAGTCTGCTCATAACAACTATTATTAATGTTTCTTGTGGTTATGTTTAGGCAATCACAGCACTTGGTTACAATTAAGAAAAGATCATGGGCTTCAACAGTGGCTGAAACAATGATCTTTCCCTGACCTTAACCAAAGTCCTTCTGATGCCTAAGCCTAGAAGCACATTTTGAAGTCAGGATGTGAACCCAGGTCTCTTACGTACTTTTGTGATACTGAATCGTAGCTTTTTCTTCAATCAAAGTCATGTTGCCTCTGAACCTAATCAGGGGATGGGACACAAAACACAAGACATGCCGCCAGAACTTTACCCAGAACATTGGTGTTTGGAACCATGTGAACTCTGAATCATTTTTAGGTGCGTCCTCACAATGTTTCTTTTCCTGCATAAACCGAACCTCTGTAACTTTAGGTTAAATATGTTATGTCATTTGTGGGGTACAAACGTGTAAGATATCCTATGAACAAATCTTTGTGTGCATTTTCGTAGGATATCCCATGTATGAGGATACGTTGCTGTGGTGCATGGGGTGTGGCATCAACAATGGCAACTCCCACCTGTGGATTTATCATCTAATACATTTGACTTCCCTTCTTCCTACCTCCCTACTTTCAGGCCACTTGCTCAAAACACAACCATCTTCAAACTCGGCCTTCATTGTGATCCCAACAATAGACCTTTAAACTTCTGTGACTGCGTCTTACACTGTTGTGACACTACCGTGGTGACAGACAGAGACAGACACATAACCACCTGCCATAGAACTCAAAACAGTTTCTGTGGTAGTTCCTGCTACGATATCTATATGTCTCCACGGCCACATTTTGCCATTAAGACACACACATACACTACATTACATTTTTATAAATAATGATGATGAGAATCAGAAATATGGAATACAAGCAGGATAAAAAAGCACATGTGTTCATATTTATTTGAAACATTTTCCAACAATGGCAGTATTTTCCCAGTGTTGTGACATATTGGTATGGCTACTCTGTGTCCATCTCACACTTGGGTGGAAGTTAACAACCTTTGGTGAAAGAAAATGTCACCAAAGGGCAGTTGGTTTTCAGAGCTGCACACCAACTCTTCCAGAAATGAGCTGCTTGTGCTTCATGAACACAGAGGATACATTATATACCGTATGATCCATTACATACAGCCGGTCTGAAGACAATGTCTGAAAGTAAACAAACCTGATTTACACCCTGAGATAAAGATAAATAAGGTATAGAGTGTGCCAGTAAACCCGGAACTCCGCTAGTGCTTTTAGCACTTCTGGTTCTCTCGTCTAAAAGTCAATATGTTTTTTGAATGGGATTTTGGTAAAATGCCTCAAATAAGGTCTGTGGTTAACAAAAGCTTAAGCGAATTTCAGGTTTTGTTCTACGACATAAAACACGTCAGTAAATACCCTACTTGTGAATTTTGAAGCTTTTACGTGTCGTAAAAAAGGCGGTTGCTAACAAGTTGCTCAATACGACTACAAACCCTGTCGGGGACATTAAATGACATCACCCCCAAACAGGCGAGAGTGCTGGCAGTCCGCCTGTTACAGCTTCTTATTTAGCTTAAACAGTCCGATTTCCCCATTATACAATGTTTTTAAAATAAAGCGGCCGAAATCAGTTGAAAGCTTAGTGGCGGTGACGTCAAGAGTCATTCGACCGTGGAGTAGTCATGTAGTCCGTTAAAGCCTAACGTTAGCTTTTTACTTCTGGCGATCGCATTTAAGCTTCAAATGCGGTATGAAAGGTGTTCATATGTGAACATGAACTCACTGAACAAAACCTGTAAGTATCATAAACTTGTGTTAGCCACAGAGCTTATTTTCTGACATAATCCAAAACGCAGTGTAAAAATCACATTCACTTTCTCTTCCGGGAACCAGCGCGATGCTAAACTTCCGGGTTCTGACATCAGTCCTGGCACACTCTATATATTTAGGTATAGTTTTTACCTGCACACACACTCTCTGTTTATATATGAATCCAGGGATTGCAGTTTTATCTCATATGTCCAAAATATAATAAGTTGTTTGATTTATTGTCCAAAAGTTGGTGGAGCAGTAAGGAATGCCTTATCTTGCCATCACCAGTCAGACATAAATGTGAGACGATTTGGAGCTGAGCAGCAGCTTACTAAAAATATCTTTCCTTGGGATGTTTTGCATGAACATCCTTGTGCAAGTGCAGTGAAATGTGTAGTTCTTATTTTTCAAGACATATTCAGAGTAATATTCATGAAATATGTTTCCTACATATGAGGAAAGATGGGCTTTTGATATTCGCTATAATAAATTACAAATATATGTGACATTCAGGCACTTTACCAGGAGCAGTAGAAAGTGGTAGGTTTACTTTTCTCCCTGAGGAGAAAGGGCTTCATTTGTTAGGCGACTTCAGTGAGACTGAGGACGAGGTCCATTTCATGTTTTATTGCTCATTATGTGACAATTTCAGAGCTTTTTTTTTTTTTAGTAAAATATTCATTTCTGGTGACTTGCTCTGTTTGGGTAATTCTAATAATAAAAAACTTGGGCAGTGTGTTATGAAGGTAATATTTTTCTGTGGTGGATTTTATTTGTCGACCTTGGGTTAGAGGACACAATTCTTTGTTTTTAATGTAATGTTCTGTGTAAGAAGTTTTGTCCTTGTCTGACAAATGTTTCAACACCACTAAGTGCAGTCTCCTACATGAACACGCTAGCTTTTCAGAGCATAAAACCTCCTCTTTAACCCAAAGGCAAACTTGGTATCCTGACATGTATATTAAGAACTGGAGAATATTTTGTCGCAAACTATATTCCCAACCTATCTTCATATTACACACTTTATTAAATATATGTTAAAATAATAGCTGTAATAAAAGGGTGACCATGCAGTCCAGAGATTTTCACCTCCAGAATCACTCTTTCCTCTTGTCATATCTTATCATCATTTTCCTGTGAGTCACTGGAGGCTCACAATGAAATATTGTTCACATTCTCTAAAGCTGCTCTCTGTATATTACTGTCAATGTTACTGTCAATGTTACTCATAAATTATCATCATTCTAACACTGGCCTCCACTGCACATTTTATTGGCAATGCATCAGCAGCAACACTTTATAATAAGGATATACATACTCTTAGGTAATGCTGAGCTAAAACATGAGTCATTGTGATTTAATCAACTGCAGGGTGTATCATAAGTTCCTGTTGCTCGCCATTAACAAATGATCAATGGTCATTGATTTGTAATCCCAGTATATATAACCACCTGTTTATACATCTAAACACCAATAACATATGTTATATATGTTTAGGTTAATACTGAAATACAAGCTTTTTGACCAATATGGTGAATGTAAGCCATGGAAAATATTTGATGAACAGTGGCGTTAATAGATGAGTAACAGGTGAGTACATGCAAGGGAATTAATCTCACACACACACACACACACACACACACACACAGTGGGAGGGAAAGAGAGACAGAAAGCACCGTGCTGTTACCGGTGCCTCCGGTTGGCTGCGCTCTCCTCCTCCTCCTCCTCCTCCTCCTCCTCTTCCTCAGCACCGGACAGACACCGGGAGCGCACCGTGAACGCATGAAGGATGAATGAACTTTAAATCTGCCTCACAACTTTCGCTGCCTCTCCCTCCCTCTCCTCGTTTCTCCCTCTCTGTCTCTGTCAGCCCGTTTCTCTCGGCTCTCCCTCCTCCGCTGCTGCTCCACAAGCCAAACATCACAAGATCTTCGACAATGGATTTACTGCTATCACGATCCTATTGTGACTGATCAGAGCTTTTTTCCGTCTTCTTCTTCTTCTTCTTCTTCTTCTTTCTCCGCGGATGCTCATTAGTGCCGTTAGTCGAGATGATGGCATCAATAGGGGATTTCGATCCGCTCAACACCAGAGTCCCTGCAACTAAAATAGAAGTTACCGTTTCGTGCAGGTAAGGTCAAACTCTCCTACACATACCTACAGATGTTTCAACCCAGATAAAAAATCAGCATCAGGTAGATCAGTCTAATGTGGGATTCAGATTTACAAGCAAGCATCAAAGTGATATAAGTTAATTAGATGTGTTTTTCCTCTGTTGCTCTATCTATCTATCTATCTATCTATCTATCTATCTATCTATCTATCTATCATGACCTTTTACTCTCTGATGCCCTTTGCTCTCAGCTAAATATTAAATCCAATCAGCTACCTACAATATGCATCAAAGCAATTTAAAATCCCTTTGAATCTCTTGATTTCTGCAACATGTCCTGCCAGTGGTTATCTGATATGCATGGTTGATTATTAATGTTGCAGGCAAATTGTCACACATCAGGTGAGAGATTGCTCGTGTGATGCAATTTCATAAATGTTACACAAAATGTGGAAATAATGTCAGTAAGCACAGTAATAATCCTCTTAAAATACATTTTGATTTTAAAACCCAAAACAAAGCAGCATTCCTGAATTTCCTCTTTGGTGGCAGGCTGCCTCGGCTGAACGGTCGGCTGCTCTGCTTACCGACTGGCCGGCTGACTAACTGACAGAGCAGTTAAAACTCAGTCAGGGTTTTGCAGACCGTCAACCTGCCTGCCTGGCCGTGTGCTGACTGGCTCTCCAATCTACTCTTGAATAATGAATGGCTGCTGCTCCTGTATGGTCCCTCCTGAGATCAGCAAGACTTGAAGTGGCCAGACACCTGAGAGAGACAGCCCCAACCTGGGAGAGGGAGTTGGCTCAGATTGGAGGATAGATGGAGTTTTGTGTGTGTGTGTGTGTGTGTGTGTGTGTGTGTGTGTGTGTGTGTGAGTGTGTGTGTGTTTCCATTTGGCCCCGAAAGATTTAAAAGCAGCTTGAATTACATGTCAGACGTGTTACGCATTATTCAACCCTGGTATTGCACAACACTGTATTGTAAATTCATGGCATTTTTTCCATCTCTTAAATTATTTTGTAAGATCTTAAGTTACATAATGACAAATGCTACAGCCAGCAGCTGGTTATCTTACCTTAATATAAAGACTGGAAGCAGGGGAAAGCACAAGCCTGTCTCCGTCCAAAGGTAACAAAATCTGCCTAACAGCACCTTTACAGCTCATTAATTATCATTAACACTAACATTAATCCCTTCTTCATCTTCCTCTTCCTGAGGGTCTTCATCAGCCTTTGACTAGTAACCTAGTGTACATTATTTTTACTTGGCTTACTGTGCGTGCATTTTGAGGAAAGGGTTGGCAGCATGGTATTTTTAGTTTCACTGAATAACTTAGGGAGCAATTTAAATCTGCCCATGACCTAACTTTTGGGGGCTTAGCTGAGACTTCTAGAAACACCCGGGGGAGGGAGAAACAAAAGAGATAAAAATGGAATTCAGGAAATGTTAATGAGTGAATACATTGTCTGAAAACAATTAAGAAAGGTCTGGAAGGATCCATTTTTACCTGCACTTTTGCTGTTTCCACAGGAGTCTGCTGGATGTGGATACATTCTCCAAGTCAGATCCTGGTATGTATGCAGTCTTCAAATGTCTAGTATTGATAGGCCATGGTTTGATATGTTGATTATAATTGCTTTAGAGAATAAACTATTTATGCCCAATTTAGGTACTGAGTGGAATATTGACTCTGTATTTACAGTTTGCATTTTTTTTTAAATGATGGAGGATATGCTTTCTAGTTCGGTTTGTTTGTCCAACCTTGCCTTATTCCAAGGGTGTCAAAAAATGCTGCTTGGGCAGTGGCACCTCTGCATCAGATACAGATGAACAATGCACCCTTTAATGTCTGTTTGAGACACAACAGACTTAAGACCAACTCGTACGTAAACCCATCTGTCATTATTAGACGTTAAGAGCAATGGACGTTGTATAAAGATTATGAGAGTGGGTCCAGCAAGCACTGGACTTTGATCCAGGAGACCGGTGTTTGTGTCCCATGGGAAGTTCACCTACAAAGACTATGCCAATGGAGTTATAGATTGCAATTAGTTTATTACGTATAATGGCTGATGGGGATGAGGGTCGAGGGAAGTAGGGATGAGAATCAAGGGATGTGGGATGAAGGGATGAGGGTCAAAGGGGTATAGGGATGAGGGGAAGTAGAGACAGAGTTGGAAGGAAGGTGGGGGGAAATGATCGGAGAAATTAGGGTCACGGACAGTCTACTATGGACAGAGCCCTATGGTGATTCCTTTATTCTGTGGAGAGAGAGAGACAAGGGAGAGATAACAACAAAAAGAAAAACAAAGAAAAGGGGTTTTTTGGGGGGAGGGATGTGAGAACGGAGTCGAAGGGGAGGTAAACGGATATGGTGTGCTTAAATACTTTTGGTGCAGAAATGGATGAGACTGAGGCGTGGTCTTTGTTCCCAAACTTAGTTATAAAACTTAACTTATTTTGTCATGTGAATCGACCAATATGATTTACTTCTACCACAAATCTTTTTCTAACCCCAACCAAGCAGTTTTGTTGCCTCAATCCAACTGACTTGAGCTGTGTCAAGATACAATGCAATTCAGTCATTATAACAATGCTGGGGGCTTCAGCCTAAGCATCAAAATATGACGAGTAGGGATGAGATTACATTGGTTTGTCTGTTTGTTAGCAGGATTTTGGAAATTCTACTGGCTTTTCATGAATTTTCATGAAAATTGGTGTAAGGGTGTAGCACGGGCCAAGGAGGAACCCATGCAATTTTAAAGTGGATCCAAGTCACAGGGCGGATTAACTTTTTTTTCTCACTTTTGTTAGCAATGCAAGATAGGGCATTTGGCCTTGGTGGAGGTCTGTCCTCTCCAAGTGCCCTCCTGGCTTCTGCATGTTTTGTGTACGCCAGCATTCTACCTTACAGCAAGGAAAAACAGTAAGAAATAATGAATGGTGGTGTACCCTCCTCTGGCTCTGGCACTGGTAAATAACCCAGAAGGTCAGAGCTATCGACGGGTGACAACTCTGCGGATAAAACACAAGAGTGAGAAGGGAGAATAAAGAGCAAGGACAAGACTAAAGAGGAATCGAAAAGTCAAGGTTGAAGAAAGGTCTGGGTGTGAGGCTGGTTGAGTTTCAGTGTGTTCTGTAGTCAAAAACTGACAGGGGAAGGAATTTAGGGAGGGAGGATATCAGAGCTGGACAGTGCAGGAGTTAAAAAGAATGCCTCTGAAACAGTATAAACCCACTCTATAGCCTGTGGCCATTCACATCTTGTATACTGTCTCAATAAAGATACAAGGCTGGTTGTGTTATTTAGGTATTTAGTGAAGGATATTGCTCTGATGCAGGACTCTGTGCTCTGCAGGTGTCTGAGCTGTGTGTGATCTTGAAATAATTAGTTGTTTTTTTTCAACCTAAAATCCAGCAAACAAATAAAAAGACCAGAATTATAAAATGTTTTCATGGAAACCAGAAACAAGCATCAAGTTGGAAATGTGAACTAAGACATCAACAGTGTCAGAACCTGCAACCTGAAGCCAAAGAAATACCTGAAATGATCACAAACTCTTAACACTGCATTACATGGTGGTAGCAAATAATGTGTAAAAATTGCATGCTGGGCCCCCGCAAACAATGGCAATGGAAGGTCAATTAGGATCCTTTGTCATAGTAGAAACACAAATTCACTGGTACAATGGCATCACGCAGTGGGCAGTGGTTATTGTTACGACCCAGTAGGTGGTATAAAGAGCCAGAAAGTCAGCATAGAGAGGCAGGCTATTCTCATGCACTCTTCGTTTGAATACCTACGAAAACATGCATTTTTGTAAGATACCATACAAACTGTTGTATGAGGATGTGCTGAAGGAGGAGTGAAGGATGGTGAATTGATTAAACAAATACAGGACTTTCACCCAGGAGAACACTGTTTGTGTACCTTGTGAAACTCAAAGCCAACGTTAACTTATTTTGACTTTATTTACTTTACATAGTTAGGTAATGTAACATAGGCTACTTACGTCACTTTACAACTTACTTACACCCCATACGTGACAAACTTAGTCTTTTTTTTTATAACAGAGAACAAACCAAACTGTGCCATCATCATGTGTTGCAGTGTTAAGAGTTCATGGTCATTTTACATATTTCTGTGTGATCACATTGGAAAGAAGGGATAATCATCATTAATCCATTACAATCATGGAACATACAAATTGGAGGGCATCATCCATATCGCACCAGGGCCACTTGCCAACTCAGTTTCATATGTGGTGAAATTAAACACATTATACATGTCAGAAAATACTTGTTGAAAACATGAGAAAAGTGAGAACTGTGTAGTACTGAATTGTGGAGTTAGAACTGTTTTTCACCATTTTTGTGTACCGGGTTTTTTGGGCTACCTGCTTAGCTCCCGAGTGTCTGTTGTTACACTGTGGCTCAATCTCGTGGGGGGCTTGTGTGCTGTACTACTGATTTAGCTGTTAACAACTGTCTATTGCTGCGTGGCGACTAGTTATTCGGTTCAGGGTGTGTTTATGTCACTGTGCTATTGGCTTGACTACCAATGAGTGTCCGTCATCTTTCAGTGGCTCGATTTTTTTTTTTTTTTTTTTTTCTTTCCCCACAATTTTGAAATCTAATTTTATATACTTGGCAATATTTTAATCATTCAAATTTGGCTGGGTGGTTTATAACACATTTTCTGTGGTGTGGCAACCTCATTACATATATTTATTTTTGCTTTCCCTGGAGTTTAAACAGCAATTTTTTCATCTCAGCTTCACAAGGCTAGGAATTTTTACATCCTGACAAGGATGAAGGAGAGGATAAAAAATCACTGGAACTTAAAGTTACTTGTAGAAAAGAACTTGAAGATACTGGATGGACATCAATGGACAATGGAGCTGCATTCTTTCGTCTTTATGTATACTCCACCAGCAGGACAGCTCTCTATCACTGTCATGTTTTTTGTGTAATGCTTGATGCTGGGATGTGAATAGTCGGCTGATGCTGTTGATGTTTCAAGGCCAGTCATCTTTCTGCAGGAAGTACTCTAGTTGTCACTCAATAACTCCTAAGAAGTGTCACGGCGAAGCTCTCAAATATTCATTTTAATTTAAAAGCACAAAATCTTTCCTAGTCAAGAAAATAATGGAATAAAGCATGCGGAGCAGAGGAAGACAGCTGAAAGACGAAAAGGACTGGACGGCATTGAATAAACACAAAAAGAGCACGGTACAGACTATGGAAGTGTTAGAGAGGGAAAGTGAGACGGAGGATGTTAGTGCGGTGCTGCAGTCATTTTGAAACATTACCAATCAAACTGAACTGCGGTTTACAAGGAATCAACTGACGCACTTCTCAAGACTTCTTATATGGAAGATCTGCCTCAGCTCCAGCTATGTTTAAATTTATAATAAAATAATCATTTTTAGCTTCACAAATGTCTCTGAACACAGTGATCACAGTGAAAAGTGTGGCAGACAAGGCTGTAGAAGAATGCCAAGAAAGAGCTTTAGTTGGAAATGTGATGACAACAAGACTGAGTGCATTTGTCTCTCTGAAAAGACTACAAAAAGCCAAAGAGCCCTATAAAGAAAATTACAGGGCGTGCATCTTCTCTTCACCTGGCAATCCAAAATGCTCTGTTACAAGTTTTAGGTGTTTATCCCTTTTGCCCTCCTGATCCTAAAGCTTTCTACCTTTTAACAACTAAAAGTCCAGCAGCCTCTAAACACAAAAGCAGTGTGTTACCTTTGAGAGTCCAACTTTCCCAGACAAATGTTACCTCCAAATCAGCCAGACGGCTTTTCAATGAGTTACACAAATCACAGCTGGAGAGCACAGCTGTCTGACTCCTCACCCAGGCCGGTCTCAAGGCTCGGGTGATGATGCCTGTGACTGGCTGCAGATGTGAGGGCTGCCTTCAGAGCTACTGGGCTCCAACCAGTACAGACAGGGAGAAGTGGTGCATGAGCCTTGCCCTCACTCCAGGCAATGGAAGCCAGTATGGTGAATAGTGTTTGGAGCTGCCTGTTGCTATATAATCTGCAGCTGGAAGATGTTATAAAAGAGACACTATTAACTGAACCGAATTAACACAGACAGCACAGGCAAGAAGAAAGGTAGAGATTCAATATCCAGAGCTTTTATTTTTCATTTTTTAGAACAAGTTGGACTATATTATAAAATGTGTTTGTTTTCTATCTTTGTGGTTGAAATCCATTGAAAAAATGACCGCACAATAAGTTTGACGTGAAACATATGCGTATATCTGCACCTCAAGTATGCAACGGTAATACAATTACCTTAGGTTGTGCAATAGGTGCAATGGATGGGGTGCTTGCCAAAGGTGTTGAATGCGCTAAGTCGTGTCAAACAGCAAACTCCCGAGCTGAAAAATGAAGCTAATGCAGAAATGGCAAAAACTGCAGTTCCACAAAGGGCCACCTGAGGCTGGCTCCAGTCAATTCCCATAGACCCCCATGTACAGCAGAAATAAACATGTTTACAGCCTGGTACAAGAAACAGTTTTGGTCTCCATAGCTAATTTTAACATTTTAAATTTTCATGA